GGGTGTCCCCCCCCCCGGGACCCCCTGTCCCCATGGGGAGGGCGGGAGGAGCGGGGCGAGGCCCAAGCCGGGGGGTAACGTGGCCGTCCCGCCGCCCAGAGGAGCCGGTCCTGCTGGCGGAGCTGAAGCCGGGCCGTCCCCAACGCTACGACTGGAAATCCAGCTGCGAGACGTGGAGCGTGGCCTTCTCCCCCGACGGCGCCTGGTTCGCCTGGTCGCAGGGACACTGCGTGGTCAAGCTGATCCCCTGGCCCCTGGAGGAGACCGAGCTGTGAGTATGGGGGCAGCTGGATGGAGACGGGGCAGATGGGGTGGGGGTTAACGTGCATCCCTCCTTTCTCCCAGCAGCTGCAAAACCACAGAACGCAAGAGCCGCGGCAGCAAAGCGGAGGCCAGGAGCCGAGGGGTGGCCAAGGAGAAGACGCTGGAGTGCGGCCAGATCGTCTGGGGCCTGGCCTTCAGCGCCTGGCCGGTGGCGGAGGCGGGGGAGACGGACCCTGCCTGCGCCGTGGGTCTTCCCTGCCTGATCCTGGCCACCGGGCTCAACGACGGGCAGATCAAGGTCTGGGAGGTGCAGACAGGTGAGCGGCCCTCGCCGACAGCGGGAGCCGTCGTGGCTTCAGGCTGGTGTCTCTCCCTTTGGAAGGAGATCCCGTCTCCGTCCTTCCCTAAATACTTCCCCGGGGTGAGCGGGAGCCCCTGCCCTGTCCCAAAGCGGGGCTGCCTGCGCCTGAGGGGCACTGCCTCGTTCCCCATGGAGGGACGGCGCCGAGCATGGCTCGTATCCACAGGACACCTCCTCTTCAGCCTCTTGGGGCACCAGGATGTCGTCAGAGACCTGAGTTTCGCTCCCAATGGAAGCCTCATCCTTGTGTCGGCCTCGCGGGACAAGACCTTGCGCGTCTGGGACCTGAGCAGAGATGGTAGGAGCGTGCAGGGATGTCCCCGGTGCTGGGTCACCCCCGGCCGAGGCTGGGCTCTGCTGCGGGAAAGGGGGGAGAAACCCACCCCGGTAGGGGAGATGGTGGGAGAGGATCATAGGGGACAGTATTCTGGGCAGAAGGGGTGAGTCCTGCGACACGGAGCAGAGCCATCTTCTTGCAGGTGGGGCCTGGGAGGCGCAGGAGGGGGCTGCAAGTAGACAGAGCCTGGGATCTGCCCAGAGGAACCCCCCAGCCCCGTGCGCATTCCCTCTCGGCAAGGGGAGCGGGGGAGCGGAGAGCAGGGGCAGGGCCCCGCGCTGCCTCTCGTGCTCCCCTCTCGTGACTCGCGTGTCTGCCGTCCCCAGGGCGGCAGGTGCAGGTGCTGTCAGGCCACGTGCAGTGGGTCTACTGCTGCTCCATCTCCCCAGACTGCAGCATGCTCTGCTCCGCTGCCGGAGAGAAGTCGGTGAGTCCTGCAGGCTGGGGGCCATCCTGTGTCCTGCTGGATCCAGCGCTCCCCTCAGCCCTCCGTGTCAACCCACGCGAGAAACCCCACTATGAGGAGGGGCCGGGCCAAAGCCACCCTCACTCCTTGGCCGTTCTGGTTCTGCGTGGAGGAGCTGGGACCAGAACCCGTGTGCCTTCAGCCCCAAGGGGGAGATGCTTCTCCTCCATTCCCACCCCAGGGATGCTCCCAGCCTCAGCCCCTGCCCGTGTCCCGCAGGCGCTGCTGTGGAGCATGCGGTCCTACACCCTCATCCGGAGGCTGGAGGGGCACCAGAGCAGCGTGGTGTCGTGCGACTTCTCGCCAGACTCGGCGCTCCTCGTCACCGCCTCCTACGACGCCTGCGTCATCATGTGGGACCCCTACACGGGGGAGCAGCTGAGGACGCTGCGGTATGGAGCCGGGGGGGCAGTGAGGGACCGTGGAAGGGGGACAGAGCAACGCCATGGGGGTTTGTTGGGGCCTTCCCTTCTAGTTGGGCACAGCCAGCGCCTCTCCCCTGTCTCCCGCAGCTGAAGGGGGGCTCTGACTTGCCAGGTTTGGCCCCGCTGCCAGCCCTGGAGCACTGGGGATGGGGTTCACAGCAGCCTGGGACTGACGCTGGGCTTGTTCTCCCCACCCGCAGCCACGTCCCCTTGCACTCGGCGGTGGACTACAGCAGCGAAGTCCACACCAGCTCCCTGCGCTCCGTCTGCTTCTCTCCTGAGGGCCTCTACCTGGCCACGGTGGCAGACGACAGGTGAGTGAACCCCCTTGGGGACCTCCAGCGGGAAGAGGGTCCCAGGAGGACACCACCAAAACAAACCAGGAGCTCAGGACGTGCCAGTGGGGAGCAGACCTCGCATGCCAGGTCCCCACCAATGCCCCGGCGTAAGGGGAAAGGGCCTGGGACACCGCGGCTTGGCTGTGGCAAGGGGTAGCAAGGTCAGGGCCCTGTCGCCCCTCAGGGCGATGAGCCGGGGCCCGTGTCCTCCTGCGTGCTGTGCCGCCCTCGCTGTGCCCCTCAGCACAGTCACTAGCTCTGTCTGCATCCAGCTCAGCTCTACAGGGGACAGTGCCTCCTGCCTTGCTGCCGTGTTGTGACACTCCTGGGATGCTCTAAGCCCATGGGAAGACAATCCTACTCCAGAGTTTGCATGCATTCAGGTGAACCCAGAGGCTTTATTTTAGCTGCAGGCACTGCGTGGATGTGGGCCTGGCATTGTGTCCCCTGCCTTTTTCCCTAGGCTCCTGAGGATCTGGGCATTGGAGCTGCGGTCTCCGGTTGCGTTTGCTCCCATGACCAATGGTCTGTGCTGCATGTACTTTCCACACGGCGGTTTCATTGCCACAGGGTGCGTACGTAGGAGAAGAGAGCGGAGAAATACGTGGCTGCTCCCTCCTCCTGCAGCTCTGGGTCTGCTCAGCAAATTGGGGGCTTCCCTGGGGGTGCAGACTGGTTTGCTGGGCTGGGGAACGCACGCTTGCTGCAAGCTCGGGATATTTGGGGGTAATCGAGTTTTCTCATGCTGCTCTGCCCCGTGCTCATGGCTTGTTCGGGTCACGTTGCAGGACCAGAGATGGCCACGTCCAATTCTGGACCGCTCCAAGGGTCCTCTCCTCGCTAAAACACTTGTGTCGCAAAGCTCTGCGCACCTTCCTGACGACGTACCAGGTTCTCGCGCTCCCCATTCCCAGGAAACTGAAGGAATTCCTCACTTACCGGACCTTTTAAGGCAGCGCAGAAAGTGGAGGCACGGAGGCGAGAGCCCTCTGCCCGGCGGCGGGGCTCGGCCTGGGTCAGAGGAGGCACTGCAGCAACGACGTCTCGCTGATTTGTGAGCCGTGGGGCAGGATTGCTACTCCCCTTGTTTTGGGGCTGTGTCTGTGAATGTGGAGGGATTTTTCGGTATAATAATCCTAGAACCCAGCAAAAATGCATGCAGAGGGCAAGGGGCACAGCTGCGGTGGCCCTGCAGGGGACACAGGTCCCCCTGTCCCCCTGCTATCTGCAAGTTTTGGGTCAGGTGCTTTTGCTTCCAAGTGCAATGTTGTGGGGTGAAGGTTGGCACCCGCAGTCTGAGCAGAGCTTTTGTCGTTCGTACGAATACGGGGCCGCAACCGTCCCTGACAAAACCGACCCTCACCGGGACTGGCTCGCGCTGTAGCTTAGTTGCCGGAGCATTGTGGGCTCTGCCGCTCTCCTGGTCTGGGCGCAAGCTGGACAAACCCGAGCAGGTCTCTGCGGACTAGACAACAGCAATGACAGAATAAAAAATGATTCCTCACGTCTTTCCTCTTGGTTCGTAGAGGTGACCTGGGGATACCTGGCAGGGCAGGCTCCAGCCCTCCTGCTGCGGCTGCCGGGGCGGCAGTGAGCGCTCGCTCGGCTCTGAAGTGCAGCAGACCAGTAAGCGTTCAGCAGTGGGTGCTGGGGAGGATCCGTCCACCGTGAAGGTGGGACACAGGGCTTCACACAGCCCGCAGCTCCCGTTCCTCTGCTGCTTTCTCTCCCTGCTGGAGCTCGGCGCTCCGGCAGCCCGGTGTCCAGATGTGCTGCGCATGAAGCAGCCTCCTGTGCTTCTCTCCCTCCAGCTTAGCTGGTTGCTGGAGTGACAGCACGTGCTCTGAGCCAGAGCCCGACGCTGTGACCCCAGATGGTGGAGAAGAGGGGGAATGTCTCCTCTAAACTGCTCTGTGGGATGTTTTCCCTCGCAAGCAGCCGAACCCAGAAAGCTGGTGTTTCCCTAACCCCTCCAGGTGTCACCCACAACTCTGTCCCCTCTTGTAACAGGGGGATGTCACCGCAAGAAGCCGCGCTGGCCCTGCGCAGCTTGCTGTGCACGGCTGCCCCGCTCAGCTGCACGAGCGAGGGGGTGGCACAAGCCATGGTTGTGCTCCTCAGCGTGCAAGCATCCGGAGCGGCTCTGCCCTGCAAGGAAGGGAGGTTTTTGCAGGCAGGTGACAGCAGCTGGACTTTGGCCTGCGTGGGTGCCACGCTTTTGCAATGGGACAGGGGCAGGGGGTGAGGCTCGACCACCTCCCTTTGGTCCTTGCTGTACAGGAGGGAAAAGACAAGAGAAGTGCAACCTGCTGGGCTTGAGGCATCTGTATTTCCTAGTGACGCTTAGAAACAATGCTGCCCGACGCTTGCGCCCTGGCTGTGGGCTCAAAGGCTTGCAAAAAGGAAACAGAAAGCTGCAGGGAGCAGCTGCGGGCGCGGGGCTGATGATCCCTTCCAGCTTCCGTGAGATCCAGCTTTGCAAGCAAGGATCCACCCGGCAGGACTCAGGCTTCGGCCACGATCAGGTCCCTGGTGACTTGGAAAGCCGCGATGAGGGAGCTCAGCTGAATCTTTTCACTGGTCCCAGCAGCCAGCCGGTACCTGGAGCAGGGGGGGAGGACAGGTTCGGGTGTTTACACCACCATCCGCGTCCTGACAAAGCGACAGCCCTGGCCAGGCTGGAGCAAGCCAAGCGCAGCGCTGGCGGGTTTATGCGGCAGGGACGGATGCACGGGGGCGTTTGCCAGCTGTGCCCACCAGCTGCCAGGACTCGGCACAGCACGGTAGCGGTGACCTCCATGGGGCGGGCGTGCTGGCAGCCCCCCAACCAGGGTGTTGCAGGGCAAGGAGCCGGGCTGAGCGGACACTTACTCGATGTCTGCCATTTTGATGAGCAGCTGAATGCGGACCGAGGGTGGGAAATCAACTGCGGAGAGAAGGAGACGGCGTGCGTCACCTCGGGATGGTTGGGCCTCCCGGGGTCAGCCAGGAGCCGGCCCCGCAAGCCCCTACCTCTGTGCACAAAGAGGTGGATCTCGGTGAGGATGTCCTGCAGGGCCAAGCCCTTCAGCGTCTTCAGCTCCATGATTTCTGAGATGGGAGCGAGTGAAGGGCTTTCTCCCATTCCTTTCCCCGCGAGATCCCACTCCTCATCTCCGCGACAACCCCGAGGACCCTCCCCAGCGAGCAGCACCCACCCCAGCCGGAGCAGGAGGTCGCAGGACGGGAAGCCCTGGCAAAGAGGAGGATTTAAAGCAGCGGGGATTAAACCCCAGGGCCGGCGGAGGACAAAGGATACTGAGATAGGCGGTGGAAAAGTCCTGGTTCAGCATCCAGTCTAGGATGTTGGCAATGTCAGACTTGAGGGGGTGTCCCGTGCAGGTGTAGACGTTCTCCTCTGTCACCTTCCCGAAAGCCATGGTGGTGCTCTGAGGAAGAGGAGGGCGGAGGAGGGATGAAGAGCCCAGCCAACCCCTCCAGGGCAGCTGCCTGCGGGGGGGCAACCGCTGCCGGCTTACACGAGGAGAGCGCGGCCACGGTCCGTACCTGCAAGATATTGAGGGCTCTGCGCATGTCACCGCTCGAGAGGGTCACCAGAGCCTTCATCCCGTCCTCAGTCACATCCACCCTGGAAAACAAGACCTGGGGCTGCAGAGGGAGCCAGCGCTGCTGGAGGGAAATACAACCGTGTGGAAAGCGAAGCCCACTGCCCCTCCCCGTGTAGGGGAATGGGGAAAAAGGGGGCGCAGAAGATGCTGTGGAGCCCCCCGCGTCCCGCGACGCCCCTGGCTCACCCCTCCTCCTGTATGACGTGCCGCAGCCGGGGCACCATCAGCTCCGGGGTGAGCGGGCCGAAGCGGAAGCGCGTGCAGCGGGACTGCAAGGCGGGGATGATCTTGGAGAGGTAGTTGCAGATGAGGCAAAAGCGGGTGTTTTCTGTGAACTTCTCGATCACTGTGAAGAGGAGGGAGGAGAGGCTGGTCCTCGTCTGCCGCCTCGTGCAGGCTCCCACCCTGCACCGGGCTGGGAAAGGCTGAAGGGGTGCCAGCGGCGTGGGGTGCCCAGCGCCCCTCACCTCGCCTCAGGGCGTTCTGAGCATCCTGGGTCATGGCGTCGGCTTCATCCAGGATGACGAGCTTGAAGCCTTTCCTTAAAAAGGGAGGAAAAAAAAGGGGTGGCTTTGGTCCCACCTGCTGGCTTGGTGCTGGAGAAGAGGGGATTGGGGGATGCTTATTCCCAACCTGACCCCCACGAACGCTCCCGGGGAGCCCTCCTTTCCCCTCTGGAGCAGCATCTTTATCCCTCATCCCTACCACCCTCATCCTCCCCGCTTGCAGGGCAGCCCTGGCTCCTTCCCACCCGCTCTGGCACGCTTCCCACCCCAGCAGCCCCCCCAACCCAGGCGGCGGGCGGTGGGCGGGGCCGGGGGGGGGGGGGGGGGGGGGGGATGACAAAGGGACGGGGAGCTTTGGGAAGCGCAGATCCGCCGCTTACTTAAAGATGGTCCTGGTGCTGGCGAAGCTCAGGATGGGCCCTCGGACGATGTCGATACCCCGGTCATCGGAGGCGTTGAGCTGGAGGGAGCCGGCGTGGATCCACATCCCCGTCTGAGGATGCTCCCAGGGGTGGGGGGGACCCCACCATCACCCCCACCCCATTCCCATTTACCTCTAGCACCATGGAGCCAAACTCCCGCTCCCGGTAGAGCTGCCTGGCGCAGGCGAGGATGGTCGATGTCTTACCGGTGCCGGGCGGACCATAGAGGAGAAGATGCGGGAGTCGATCTTCGCTGATAAACCGTTGTACTGGTAACGGGATAAAGGGGGTTGGGGGACGCCCGGTACCCCCCGGTGGTGTTAATTACCGGGGAGGGGGGTTGTTACTCACCGGTGCTGAGGATATCCCGGTGCGACACCAGCTCCGACAGCGCCTGCGGCCGGTACTTCTCCACCCTGCACCGGGGAGAACCGGGGGGAGGGGGGGGGGGGCAGACCGGGGCCGGCCCCGCGGCCTCCCCCGC